TCATTGTGACTATTGTGCATGGAAAGATGTGTGTGTGTGTGTGTGTGTGTGTGTGCAGAACTGATAACATATACTAAAAAATTCTGTAATTTATATTGTTCCAAATGTATGCTTTTCATAATCTTGGGATTCTTTTCAAATTACTTCAAGAAGAAATACTCTTAAGTAGGTAATTGGTGGTGGTATAGCTTTGGCTTCTTATTATATCTTTTTTCTAAAGAGCTATAGTATATTCAGATATGCTAACCTTGTGCCCAATTGGGAATGTGCTGGAAACATAGGAAATATTAAACTGTAAAATATTAACAACTACATTAAAACACATAGAATTCTTTTTCACTTCAAAGTTGTATCCAACTTAATAGATACCCGGTATTGAACAAAATTTTAACCTCAGAAACAATTTCTTCATGCATAGTGAAGGTGATATTCACTGGACAATGTTGACCTGAGGTGCAACGAAGTAATGTACTCACTTAGGGTAGTTAGGAGAGACCCTACATCCATGTGGAGAAAAACCCTTTCCATTGAATATTAAAAGGTTCTAATGGATTAAAAGTTCACTGTGGAAAATAACAAGTACAATTTATTTCCTATATTTTTATTTCTTTGAATTATTTGATATGCTTTGTGTGGTGTGTGCACATATGGATTTATGTACCTGTAAGTGATTAAGTAATGGAATAATTCAAGGACAATGATAGTATACCTGAGCTCTTCCACTCTTAATCTTTAACAAAAGATTGGTAAGTAACCTGGACCAAATGGCTCATCTGTAAAGACATGAATTTATCAACTGTCCCAAGATGATGTTTAATGGTCCTTAAAGAAATCTTCATAAAATTGCCAAGTTAAATTAGCTTAGTAATATGGCTGTTTTATTTAGTTTTGGGGGCCTTGTTAAGGTAGATGTATTTTTGAACTAGTAAAAATAGTCTGAGAAGAATTATCATTTCTACAATGTTGGCTTTCAATGTAGGAAAACACACCACTCCATTTTGTTTTCAACTTCTGGTCCACACTGTAATTCAGTATACCAATCTATATGGCTCAGTCGTAGCAAATAGCCTACATGAGGCCCTGAGTTGGAGCCACAGCACTGCACAAAATCCAACAATAAACAAACAAAAAATACCTCCACAGCAATGCTCCAATCCTAGCTAAAATTTAACTCTCAACTCTGATATCCTACAGCCAATGTTAGCTTAAGTAACATGGTCACATCGTGGACCTTCTCTGTAGGAAAGAAATAGGCATACAAAGGTATTTATCTTGTACAAAGACACTGTCCAACATGAATTATTCCCAATACTGAATTCTGCACTATCTCTACAAATACACACATGTGCATGTGCATGTGCATGCACTCGCATACACACACACACACACACACACACACACACACACACACACACACACATAGAAATTACATAACAAATAATTCTTATAATTTTTCTGTCATAGAGTTGAGGTATGTAGCCCATAAACAAAAAATTAGTATACCTTTAGTGAAGTACATTTTCTTTTTCATTCTATTTTGTTATCCTAATTCAGACGGTAATTTGTTCACCAATATTTACAGCAGTAATCTATACTTCACAAAGCAGAATGGAAACTAGGTGAGATTTTCTCTTTTTTTGTTTAATTTATTGCAAAAAGCAAATCCAACAAGTGAAATTTCCCATTTTCACACCAAAAACAAGGAGATCAGCCAAGCAAGTAGTTTTCAAAGCTAGAGAACCTTTGAAGGAGTTGGAAAATAAAATGAAATAAAAGGTTTTCCTAAACTACTAGTTTTAATCTCAATCTGTCAATAAAAAGAGCCATATAATTTAAAACCAGAATGTGTCAGCTGTCACTGTTTTCTCATTGTGGTTCACCCTCAGTCACAGTAAATACTATAGAAATAAGAATTAACAAATAAATTTTACTGACATCTCCACAAATTCCATCACTTTTTCCAGAGGCTCCCTGACTGCCCAACAGACTTGCAGATTCCACAAACTTTCCTAAGAAAGTCAATGCAGATCTGAAGTATCACCTTAGGGGTTAGGGCTTAGACATCTCTACCCTGGCAATGGAGGGTTTTCTTTTTGTTTTCCTTTTTCAGTTAGCATAGATTGATTGTATATGGGATGGGGGTTAATTGTGTTTCTACACATGCATCCAGGGTCACCTGCATAAATTTCTCCTTCATCTCATTCTCCTATCATAAAACAATTTCAATAAGCTACGTTCTTCTCTTTTCATGCATAGGCATAAAGTATTCTGGTATTGTTCACCCTCCTGCACACCCTCCCCCTTCCATGGGTACCCAACCCCCAATGGTGCCTCTTAATTTGTACAAGGAGTTTGATCGATGGAGATTTTTTATTAGTCCAGTGTCAGTTGTGTGAGGAGAGCAGCTGTGTCACTTTGTCTACCCTTGATACTACAGAGTGCCTGGGATACATTATGTCCTTTGTAAATGCTGACCAGAATGAAATCAGACCATTGGTATTCACAAGAAATGCCTTTCATGGGCCTTGCTTTGCAGATACTGGTTGAGTATCCATTCTCTAACCACCTTGGGAATGAAAGTGCTTCACAGGTCAGGTGTCTTGAGATGTTGATAGATTTGCATAGAAATAATGAGATGTGTTGAGGAGGAACACTAAGTCTAAATACGAAATGCCTTTTTATGTCTTATACACCTATGGACATCATCAGAAGGTAACTCCTAACCGTATATTTAGTGCACAACTTTGGATTGAAACCCATCAGACTTAGGCATCAGATCATCACTAAAAAAATTCTGAACTTGGACTGGGAAGGTGGCTCAGTGGTAGAGTGTTGCCTTGCATGCACGATTTGGGAATGAAAGTGCTTCACAGGTCAGGTGTCTTGAGATGTTGATAGATTTGCATAGAATTAATGAGATATGTTAAGGAGGAACACTAAGTCTAAATACGAAATGCCTTTTTATTTCTTATACACCTATGTACATCATCAGAAGGTAACTCCTAACTGTGTATTTAGTGCACCACTTTGGATTGAAACCCATCAGACTTAAGGCATCAGATCATCACTAAAAAAATTCTGAAGTTGGGCTGGGAAGGTGGCTCAGTGGTAGAGTGTTGCCTTGCATGCACAAGGCCCTGGGTTCAATTCCTCAGCACCACATAAGCAGAAAAAAAAACCGGAAGTGGCGCTGTGGCTCAAATGGTAGAGCGCTAGCCTTGAGCTGAAGAGCTGAGGGACAGCGCCCAGGGCCTGAGTTCAGGCCCACGACTGGACCAAAAAAAAAAAAATTTCTGAACTCCTAAGCATTTTAGATAATTTAGGATTTTCAGAAAAATATATTGCTAAGCTAAATTAAAATTTGGTAAGAGTCACTCTTAGCTTAATAGCTATAATTGCCTTCTAAAAAAATTCAGAAAGCATGTGCGTATTGTGTGTGTGCAAGCACTGTGACTTGAATCCAGGGGCCCTGTGCTCCTGTTTGTTTTTTTGTTGTTGTTGTTGTTGTTGTTCAGTGCTGGTATTCTACCACTTGAGCCACAGCTCTATTTCTGACTTTTTGCTGGTTTGTGGAGATGAGGCTCCATTCAGGCTAGCTTCAAACTTAAATCCTTCGATGTCAGCCTCCTGAACAGCTAGAATTACAGGCACAAGTGACCAGCGCCCAACTCACATTAACTTTTAAGTATTTAATTAACATGATTTTTTACAAACTTGTATTAATATATAAATTAAATATGTATTCCAGGTTTTCCCAGAGAGAAATATTCATATGTAAGTTGACCATCTATAATGTGAAATCCAAAATCCTTCAAAATCTGAAACATTTTTGAGCACCCAACGTGATAGTTACAAGTAGAAAATTCCAAAGTTCAAATGATGGGTCAAGGTTAAAACACAAATGTTTCTCATATTGTCTAAAGTTTTGTTCAAGTTTGGTGTATATGGTATATATAAAACACCAATAAAATCAGTCCCCATTCTAAGTTTTTATGCACATACAAATATTCCAAATTCAAAAACAGCCAAAATCCAAAGTACTTCTTATCCAAAGTGATTATTCATAGCTCATAACTGCAACTCCTTTTACATTATCTCACTGAATAAAGCCACAGTATTTTTTGATATAGTAGACCTCATTGCGTAATTAAAATACAGAATGAGAGTACTTTCTAATTGTTGCATTATTTGCACTGTTACAAAACTAAGGAGGCCTAAACAAATGAAATTTAATTTTTAGCAATTCTAATAAAGTAGATACAGAAATGTTCTTACAAAAGGAAACTAATCAGTTTAAGATGCCACAACAAGATATATTAGTTAATCTCTGTCATTTTCAAAAATTATTGGAGTGACTGTGACAGTCAGTTTAGAAATCATAAAAAAAAAAGACCAGCTTTCCGAGTGTCTCCATTTCTTATATCAAAAGCTTCATCTCTGGGTGTATATTAACACCTCACAACTTATTTTTACAAATAAAATCTTCTTTAGCCAGAAGTAGAACTATGACCTAAGTGGTAGAGCGCTAACCGTACACAAACAAAACTCAGGGACAGTGCCCAGGCCTTGAGTTCAATACCCAGGACTGGTACAATAATAAAAATAAAGATGTGTTCCCACGAAGATGCTCAGAAAATTCATCACTGGACTTGAAGACAGCACCACAAAACAAATTCTCAAGTATATAGTGCAAAATGAAAATGCTGTGGTAGTATGTGCCTGCCAGCTAAATTTGAAAAGGATAGGGACACACACATCTAAAGGAGAGAGCTATGTGGAAGCCATTAGGTGTGAGGGCAGGTGTCATTGAGGACTCGGAACCAGTGACATTCTTGCTCATAGTAACCTGGGGTACCCAGGCCCTCTTTCAGTACTTCACTGCCAGCTCCAACCTGGGAAGTCTGTCCCCACTTGAAATAGAGACACACAGTTTCCTGGCAGTGAGGACCTCACTGTCATAGGCACTAGATTAAGAGGAGTCTGTGAAGGGTCTTACTCACATCAACAAGCTGATTGACTCCGCTTGCCGTCTTTGCCAGTGTTACAAGGTCCTCCTGCATCTTGTCCACCCATGACTTGATCCTGCAGAGATCAGACAGAAAAATGCTCTCTCAGAGGCTGCCAAACACATTCAGATCCTGGCATGTGCATCCATGCTTCCCATAACTCCTTAAATTGCCTTTGCATATTCCTTCTTCTTGCTGGTTCTCAGGGTGTGCACCCTCTCATTCCACCTTCAAATAGAAAGGCACCAAACCTTCATGCAGAACCTCTTAAGATGCCAAAATACTCCCAAAGCAAAGAAAGGAAAGTTCCATGAGTATCTTAGAAAAGATAAATCTTGCTTTTTAAAACATAATTCCATAAAATAGTTATTAAACAGAGCAACAAACTGTGTATTTTTGCTTATATATATGCCAACTGAAAATAATTTCAGACTATTTGAAAACCCAACAATCACACTATTCTGAGGTAACCTCTATCAATTTAATGTTATGTTCCATAATCGTGTTGTAAAAATGTTTCATGCAGTTGAAACCATCATTTATCTACTAAAAACAACTTATTTTCTTATGCCATGATACGTTCACATGTCATTAAAAATGCCTTGAAATAGTTCCTTTTTATGGCCACTTAATATTCCCTTAGTTCTAGATTCTATAATATACTTGGTGGTTCTTATTTTTCTTGACAGAATCTCATCAGCTTTAACGAACACACATTATATTGCAGCAAATATAATACATAAGTAAATAAAACATGTCCAAATATCTGAGGACATCAGCTTTAAAAGCATTTTGTTTCACCACTTGAATTCTTAGATTTGGAATTAATGGATCCCACTTTTGGGCATTTCCCCAAATGATCACAAACAAGACCACACTAAAGCTACCAGCACAACTATATTTATTGCAGCATTATTTACCACAGCTAAGATAGGGAACCAACCCAGATGCCCCTCAGTAGATGAATGGATCAAGAAAATGCGGTATATATACACAATGGAATTCTATGCCTCCATCAGAAAGAATGACATTGCCCCATTTGTTAGGAAATGGAAAGACTTGGAAAAAATTATAGTAAGTGAAGCCAGGCCCAAAGAAACATAGGTCCCATGGTTTCCCTTATTTGCAATTACTAGTATATGTCTGAGACAAGCAGAAAAGGTCAGATAAGTTGATGTTAGGGAAATGAACCCCAAGATAAGGATTCAAATTTATTTTCTTGTGATTGTTTTAACATATTTATAAGATGATTTCTTTGTTGCTTTGTATGTTGCTCCCCCACGGTATAACTCCTGCTTTCACAGTATTTGATGTTGGTATAATTTGTAGAGGGGAAGGGAAAAAACAAATTGTTAAAATAGGGATACAGGTGGACCCACTGCAACAATGAGATGTACAAATCGTTATGTCGAAAAATGAACTTTAAGGGGTGGGTGGTGGGTGAGAAGATGGGAAGAGATGGGAAGGGGAAACAAAGGAGGAGGCAGCAATGCTTGATAAGAAATGTACTCATTATCTTGCCCATATAATTGTAACCCCTCTGTATGGTATTTTCACAAGTGAAAAAAAAAGATTTTTTAGATAAATTGAAAGGTAATAAAACAAAGAAATTCATGTGGAATAAAAGCTTACATTCAAGGGGATTTGAATGAGGCTTAGGAAAACAAGCAAAAAAAAAAAAAAGCAATGAGCTGACAAACTAAAGAGAAAGAAGGAAAACTGAGTCATTAAAAAAAAAAAAAGATGTATTACCTTAGTGAAAATCACAGAGGTATGACTTAAATGTGACACAAACAGTAAACAAAATGTATTAAAACTTTAGCAGAAATAAAAACAGAACGTTTACTTAGACATGCTATGTGAATAGACAGAAAAGAGTAAATGAATATCAAAAATAAAATAGATAAAATTATAGAACCATAAAAATAAGTAGTGCATGTGTTACAATAATATTACAGTTTGTACTACTTATATGCAAGTACATAGCTCTGAAAAATACATAAGTACTAATCATTATTCTTAGCATTGCTCTTAGATATCATCATGGCCCATTTTTAAATGAAGAAAAGAAAATAGGCTCCTGTTAAGAACCTAATACTATCAAGTAGTAAGGTAAGTTACACAACCCTTCAACTGAGAATGGATATATGCATTCACCATACATAGACATGAAAAGAAAGGAACTTAGTTCATGCCTGAATTCTGATTTATGCTAAGCTTATACCAAACATCCATCCTCCTTGACACCTTCATGTACTGTCACTACTAATGTTCACTGAGGTGAGCCACTGGGGGGCTAAAAAGTAATTCAAGATCTGTCCAGTCTTATCAGGTCCTCTGACAAGCTGTCAGGTACACTGTAACACTGTATAGGAGCAAGGATTATTCTTCTTTTCATATATATATATATATATATATATATATATATATAGTATATTACATGATTTTCCTAAAACATTCAATAAGCATTATGCCTTTTAAAATTGAATGGCTGCAGTGGCTAGGAAATAAAGGTCACAAAAGTGAAAAATGATGTTTAAATACACATTCAAATCTTTATCATTCTCTCTTAGTAAACTGTCAACACGCATATCAAATCACTAATCAGTATTTTGTTATATGTATCCAGAGGTATTATAAAATTGGGGGGAAATTATGAAGGGTACAGGATTTTCATGTAGTACAAAAGCGACAAAGCAGTCTCCTAGGACCAGTGTGTTACTTGTTCTTTGTTAACCCATTCAGCAAGTACTAGAATCTGCCAGGGAAGGGAAGGCACTGAAAGATGGAAAAGCAAGTTGGGGTTAACAAAAAACCACCAAGAATATGGTGAGATATGTTTCAGGAACTTAGCCTATTAAGTGGGGAGACTGATAGAAGAGAGCAAGAGATACCATCTCCCAACCATTTTGTAAAGGTGATGTACAGAGAGGTTCAGTTACATAAGTTGGGTAATTAATACATTTCTTTTTGAACAGTGTTACTCTCTCCTTCATTTTCTCCCACTTTTTCCCCTCCTGACCTCCCTTCCCCCAAGTTTGTAAAGTTCATTTCCAACGTAATGTATAATATTAGAGTATCATTACTGAATGGCAGTAATTTCTCTTTTTTTATTTTAGTTTTGTACCCGTTGACTTGTATATATGTTGGTCTATTTTCAGGAGGGGAAGGGGAATCACAGAAGTGGTAGACAAAGGGTGAAATAATTCAATAGTGATCTCCTCCAATTAATATGAGAACTGACTAATAACAGAATATTATTAATATTTAATTAATATTACAGGTACCTGGAAATATTGACAAGAAAGTGAAATCCAAAGAACTGAGCAAAGAATGATGTTTAAATATTTTTCAGACAAAACACAGTTACGGTGTGAAGGGCTAAGACAAATCGGTATCTTGATGTGGGTAGTAAATTCTAGGAGTATTACCAAGAGACATATAGAGTAAAAGCTCATGGAAGACTAGGGTTACTTAAGAATGTATTCAGCTTCATTGCAGCCCAATTGCTTATTTCTGGTACACTAAGGCTTTATTCTTGGTTTTGGTATCTAAAAGACTCCCTTCCAGAAGAATCTGCACAGATTGTTGCATATATGAAAATGCAGGACACATTGCCCTGTCTGTAGTTCCAGTACCTCAAGGGAATAAAACCACGGTAGATTTTGCAATTTCAAGCCGTTTGTATGGCTAGAGTCCAAGCTTGGTTCAGTAAACACTATGACAAGAATGTTGGTAAAAATTTTCAGTCAGAACAAGAATACTATTATTCTGAAGCATATAGTGTGTGTTTTCCAAATAATGAAGAGATCTTTGACAATGAGAGGACAAAGAATTATAAGATCAGGTAAGTGGCTATGAATGCGATGAAATAAATTTCCCTAGCATCATGCAGGTTGTGATTGGAAGGGAGAAACAAAAGTGAGAAAATAGAGGTAGCAGGGAAGTGAGAAAGGAGGCCATCTCAAGAACTCTCAGCAGTAGTTAAAGAGAAAAAGGAAAGGGGAAGGAAGGAAGGCGAAGCAACCAGCTCAACAGAAATCCTCATGTGGACATGATTTCACATACCCATGGGGATAGCAACTGAATGGCAGAGAGACTTGAAGGTGAGTCTGAGAGGTTCTCAGTTTGGCAAGACTAGAACACAGGATATATAGAAAGGATACTGGAAGAACAGGATAGAGAGACATTGATGACTTGTGGTTTCAATTTAGCTTTTATTTTTGATTCCTAGCTAGAGGTTAAAACCAGGGCCTCACACATGATAGACAAGAGCATGACCACTCAACAGCAGCCCAACCCAAATCAATTTTTTAAACTGATTCAATTAGAAACATTTTGAGAGATTCAAGTATAGGAATACAATAGACAATCAAACTGACACATGTGCATAGCCATCACAAGCAAGGACTGCATAACATTCAAAGACTGGTTGCCAAAGTGCATAGCAAAGGCAGAAGCAAATCAATGTACATCTCCAAATGACAGTTCATAGAGGGAAGGAAGATGAGAGGAGGAGCGGGGGGAACCGGCATTTTGGGCTCTAGAAAATAATATTTAAATAATGTTAGAATCAGAACAGTAGAAAGAGAAGGGAATCTAAGTACTGTGGTTAGGCAGAAGCCATAGGAGGGGATCATTCTCATAGTGGCGCTAAGGCCATCAGAAATATAAGTCCACTTGAACTGTGAGGCGAAAGACAGAGAAGCAACAGAAAATAGATAATGGAGAAGTTGAGGCTCCGTATTTATTTATTTATTTGCCCATCCTGAGGTTGAACTCGGAGCCTGGGCACTGTCCCTGAACTTTACCAGCTCCAGGCTCGTGTTTACTCCCTGAGCCACAGCTCTGCTCCCAGCTTTTTGGTAGTGATTTATTGAAGATAAGTCTCATGGCCTTTACTGCAGGAGGTGACTTTGAACTGTGATCCTCACATCTCCCCCTCCTGAGTCACTATGATTATCAGCATTAGCTACCAGTGTGTAGACATTTTATTTTTTAATATGATGGATAGGGTAACATTTCAATGCAAAAGGAGAAAAACAAGTAGGGAAGTAGTTATCAAAGATGCAAGAA